CTTTCTTCCATCGCTTTCGTGAAGAAATCGGACCAACGGGTCAGTGGTCTACCTGTAGAACGCTTGACGTCCAGAGTAATCCAGTCGGTAACGGCTCTCGTCCATCGGTTGTCGTTGAAGCGCATCACGTGTCCGACCCACCTTATTTTCGACATCCTGGCGTGTAGAACGACGTCTCTGATTTTCGATCGTTGACGTAGGTCGGAACTTCGGATCCCTTCTCTCATTTGCGAAATACGGGATACTTCCTAGCATCGACCTTTCGACTGCGCGTTCGATAACTCCAAGTGATCTTTCATCCTGCTTATGTGGCGACCAGGTTTCTGCTGCATACGTTAGGGCAGGGATAATCGCCGAGTCGAAAAGGTGGGCACAGAGTCGGATGTTCTTTGTCCTCTTCACTACATCTTCGATGCTCTTAAACGTTCCCCAAGCCGCTCGTTTCCTCCTGCTCAACTCTGGGGCTAGGTCGTTCATCATGTTGATTTCACGACCTAGATAGATGTAACTGGAGCATTCGGAAATTGTCGTTCCGTTGAGCGTGAATGGGGCATTAGAAACCCATCCGTTCCTCATGAACATTGTTTTCGTTAGATTCAGTTGAAGACCGATTTTTCCACAGGCGTTATCGAAATCAGTCAACATTCGTACCGCTTGGCTGATGTTTGGTGTTATGAGAACGATATCGTCAGCAAAGCGAAGATGGTTCAATTGTCGACCGTCAATTTTCACTCCCATTTCGTCCCATTCTAATGTTCGCTTGACGTTTTGTAGGGTGGCAGTGAATAGTTTTGGCGATATTGTATCGCCTTGTCGAACCCCTCTTCTTACGTCAATGGTGATATTGTTGTAGAATGGAGATATTCTGGTCGTGAAATCTTTATAAAGCTCACGAAGGATCATTATGTACCGAGTAGGGACGCCCTGGTTATCCAGAGCCTCTATAACCGCTTCTGTTTCCACTGAATCAAAGGCTTTCTTCAGATCGATGAAAGTGAGACATAGTAGTTGTTTGTACTCTTGTGAAACTTCAATTAGTCTTGTAATCGTGTGGATGTGGTCTATGGTACTAAATCCTTTTCGGAACCCTGCTTGTTCGCATGGCTGTCCTTCGTCCAGTGTTCTGTCAATCCTGTTCAGGATGACTCGAGTAAAGGTTTATAGACAACGGACAGCAAACAGATTGGGCGATAATTGCCTATGTCGTGAAGGTCTCCCTTTTTGAACAACAATACGGTCTTGCTGGTTTTCCATTGAATAGGGACCTTGCATTCTGACAGGTAGCGAGTGAAGAGCCGAGCCAGAATGTTGATGAGATCTGGCGGCAAGTTCTTCAGGTGTTCTGGTCTAATCCTGTCTGGACCAGGTGTTGCTCTGTTTTTCACCGACGATATAGCATGTCGGATTTCGGAAGGAAGGACCGGTGGAACGACATATTCGTGCTCTTTCAATTTATATGACGGTAAGAGACATGGCTAGCGAAGAGATCCGAGTAGTATTGGTGGATGATTTTCTCCATAGCCCTTCTGGAAGCTGTCACTGTCCCGTCAGGGTATCGGAGTGCAATCATCTTGGTCTCATAGTTGGCGAAGCCTCGCTGGGCTTTGCGAATGCTCTTCCCAGCTTCTGCAGCTTCTGCCATAACTGCTGCTCTATAACACTATAGGAGAAAGAAAACATAGTGTATTACACTTTGCCGGCAGAGCTGTATCTCTGAACTTTGAATAATTACTAAGTAGAGAAAGTTTCGATGATTCCATCGCTGTTTTTCCTGTGGAGCGCTGTTTACTGAAAAGTGGCAGAGAAGGTAAGATCAGTCTCACATATTCGGCGGCTTGCTCACTAGCTAGTCCACGTGCTGGGTGAAGGGGCGATCGATGGCTTGACGGGCTGGGCATGTGCAGTGCAACTTGTTATTCAATTGAAAAATTTTTCTCTCGCTTGGGAGAAACTCCAGATATTACGACTGACTCAGATATTGGGAGATTACTTCTACGCGCTCACATGCTTTTCGTGCATCGAACGCGTTATGCTCATGTTCATTACAATGAAGGTGCGCGGAAGGTGTGAATCATGATTTTGTATTGCATGCTATATCTCTACAATAGGGTATTGCAAAAGCATTGACGTAGGGCGCTAACAAGAGATTCAGGCTTTGAATGTTGCTAACACTCTTATGAAACGCTCTTGTCCAACAAATGGGATGAAATATTCATTTGTCGCCGTCTCCAGGAGAGAACCAAGAATACAATCACCGATATGATCAATGATATGTAACAGTTTGCTAAGCAAAAAGTGGACATCTTCCACTTAGAACAATGAGGCTCTCAACTGAATTGCTAGGGCTATTTTTGAGGTACATGCGCCTTAAGAATTTTTCTTCCGCAGACTTTGCTTCAGGGCACATAAGTGATGAAAGGCTGAATAAATAATATCAATGATAAAAGGTAAATGCAGCACTATACAACCCAAATTCTACAATTCTGACGAATTGATTTTGCAATGTGAAGTGGTTCGTGTGCATGAGATGTCCACCGGGACATCACTTTGAGGTAGCCATTTCATTTAGATTGCCCGCCATGGTTTTATGGCCCTATACAAATGTATGTTCATGCCAGAATGCTTTTAAACACAGCACAGCCTTTTGAAATTAGCTCAGTTTGAAAGAAAAAAAAGGCGAACAAAACGTTGGTGCGAATGTTATAATGGGAAAGCTTAGTTACTAATAAAGAAGTTTACAGAGAAATTTTCCCTCTGCCAATAATTTAAGAAAATGGTACCATTGCTTTTATCACTGATCATAAAAATTCAAGTTGGAGTCGTCTTAGACGGTAGAAATGAGAAGATTTGAAAAGACTAGCTGGATGAAGATCCACTGCGACAAAATCGTGAACCTGTCTCTGAAAATACATGGATGCATCCACCAAGAAGAAGCTAATTCAACTAGCCGAGCTGTGTGAATGGGAAAGAGAAAGGATTTGTGATTTCCATTTAACGAGGATTCAGATCTTGACTGTTATTGTGCCATTGAAAAGCCTTTCTTTTGTGAAGTTCTTTTGCTTATCCAAAAACTGGCTAGCAAGATAAAAAGGAAAACGCTTAAGTCTGCAAATTGGTGAAACACTTGTGTCGCGTATGGCTCATGCGAAACATTCAAAGTGACAAATAAGAAAACTATAGATGTTCATGACATTTTGAGCTTTCGAACTTTCTTCACACTTCGTCTACAACTCAAGTGTTTGACCATACATAGATTGGTAAAAGCTATGAAGGAAGCAAAATGAATGAGAAAAATTCAGTTGAAAAATAATACGTGAAAAGAATTTGTGCAGCAGAAAAGGTTCAATCTACTTCAGCAACAGATCAATGCCACTGAGTGCTGATAAAGGTAGTATGGTGAAAACATTGCCAAAATAAACTCATGGGCCTTGGTGAAGTGGGCAGCGCGTGAGCGGTCGGAGATGTACTCGCGAGTTCGAAAACCAACTGAGTGCTCGGTCTTCCTCTTCGCAGCTTCATTGAATGTGCATTTTGCAAATTACCATGACACAAATGGGCATAAATGAGTCGTAAATGAGAGTCGAGGCTTTTTAGAAGTTACTATTGTGGGCAATGAAAAAGCGGTGTTGATACAGCATACGACGGTTTTGATCGTCGCGAAAGATTTTATTAAGTGCAGTCTAGTCAACCAGATATACCGATAACTTTCACACAAGAATCACAGTAATTACATTCCATTCGCAACTTCTTCCACCAATTTTACTTCAGCTTTCTATCTCTTAGTTTATCTCACGAAAAATTAGTCTTATTACTTGATTTTGAAAGTGCACCTATTTGCAATCGTAGCCCAATCAAATACCTAATCAAGCGTTCTCGTAGAGTCATGTCGACCAATCAGCCAAGGTCTTGAAGTGGAAGCCACCATTCTGGTACAAGAATATCAAATCTGAAAGCACACGATTCGCGAAGCATTCCGCACAAATTTCTAGATCCAACCGTGAACAGCACAGAGAAGAGCCTCGCTATCACGCATGATTTGTCACAGTGTATGAGACATATTTTGATGTGAGATGCTCATTGACAGTCCATATGAACTCTACACACTTGGTCACCGAATAAAAGCTTAGTGAACCATTCATAAAAAAGCGGTGAAAAGTGTTTTTACTGCGATGAATCTTAGGCTTGGTGATTTTTTACTAGAATTGCGGAGATCTTTGGATGACAATGCCATCGACAAGCTGTCTTTCCGGCCTCTAAAAATGCGAGATCGGCTGGAAAGTTAGTTGCTGTAATAAAGTGTATTATAATAGCCTTGTGCTCTAAAATATCAAACGAGGTTGTTGACCCTCTTTTACATATTTGCTTTCCTTACATTCATCATCTATAAAGCTCTTCTGACTTTTTAGTGCGATTCGGCTGCTATTTGAGGACTGAGATCTCTTTAAGAACGATAATTGCTGGTCCATTAGTTCTTCAGCCTCGGGAGGGCCAAGCTGAAGCGTTCTACTTGAGAATGTAGGGCATGAAATGCTCTGAGACATGCTTGCTATCGAATGACGCCGGAGGAGTGAGAATCCAATGAGCTTTTACGAACTGTATCATCACCGCCGTGTTTGCAGCCAAATTCATTACTGCCACTGCTCTTCCTTCATTACCTCTCAAGCGATGTCAAACATCAAACTTACGCGGAAGTGGTTGCGGTTCTAGACCACGCTGAAACATTAATTTCTTCTGTAATCTGCTACAAGTGACGAAAATAGTAGAAAGGCCAACATCGAGCCCTTTTGGCTACGTGTAGTTTCAGGAGAATCAGTCTCAAAAACTGCTTCCCCAAGACTTCTGATAAGGCAGCCACAAAGGTGAATACTGCTTACGCAATGTTAAAATGCGTTTCTTCAAACCTATTGAGCCACCACTGAACTGTGCGTTCTCTAGTAGTTCCTCCGCCAAAAGTTGTGTTTCCAACATACCTAAGAAAACCGAGTGGTGAGCAGAAATTTCACCTCAGGCGGGAGCTGAACCAGCGTTTCACTCATACCAATAGTGCTTGCTACCACTACATCACCGAGGCACCGTTTCTCCACCACTCATTCTTCAATGCCTTCCGTGAAGCTATTAGTCATCAACCTATAATAGGTTTGGCTGACAAGCAGTATCGCTTCATAAAACCGGTTAAGCTGACAGCCATTGCGGTATGTAATAGTGGGTTAAACTCCCTTCTGAGATTGAATTTCTGCTCATCACCTATTCCTCTTAAATGTATTGGAAACATTATTTCACTGCGAAAAATGCAGTAAAATCATTATGAATCAAAATTTGTTGCTGTTGCGGATTGTTTCTTCCACGGCTTATTTCGCGATTGCTTTTGCACCAATACTTTCTAGAATTCGTCTTCAAAAGTTCGACTTTCTGTAAACCTCGGCATAATTAGTTGTTATATGAAAATCGAGAAAACTTATCTTGATTAGCTGACGCGATTGGTAAATTAGTCGTGGAAATCGGCCGACGTTTCGGCTACCCGCCTTCTTCAGAGCCTGTGCGTATGTAGTATTAGCCTATTCGAATGATTCGGATGGCCTTATTTATATGCTACCTAAATCAGGTTAGAATATCAAGCGAAGAAAGGGCGCGAGATCTCGTATGATGGTGACGCACTCGTCCTTCCGGTTCATTTCAGGATATTGGGCGTTTATCCAAAATGCCTCAAGAGTTTTGCGCGTGAATGTTTTGGATTCCTGCGCTAGAATTGTGGCAGGCACATCAAAATGCTTGTTGTTGTGTTTTTGTGCCCTATGTAAACCTAAAGGGTTGGTTTTATCTACTTTAGATTTACCATTTAGATGTTCTTTTACGCGGATGAAAAGTGCTCTGCTCGTTTCGCCTTCAATTCTTCCCGCATGTTTTACATGTAAATAAAGAAATTGTGCCTGATCTCATACAATTCCCTCTTTTCAGTTAGGGCAGATCATACAGTTTTGGTGTTGCACAGTTGATCATAAAGTTTATTGCGGATCAGCTAATGGCGTAGGGTGGGAGGTGGGATTTCCCAAACTACCACGGAATTTTCAAGACCGCATCTTTTTAGGCATATTTTAACCGTTAAAATAGTAGCGCGGTTGAAAGGTGGCTAAAAAGGATCAAATAATTATTATTTGAGCCAACATGTCATGTTGTCTGTTGAAGGCTTCTTGTACAGCTGGGCACACGTTTATTGGCCTTGCAGCCTCGTCAGTCGGGCAGGCCTTTCGTCTTCAGCTAATCTTCTCGGGACCCCCTACGTCACCCTATAAAGAGGTAGACGTCGACTAATGGTTACACAATCGCCGCCAACTAAAAAACCACAGGATCGGCAACTTGGCCATTCCATTGCTCTTGCCTGGCATTTTTGAAATAATATATCACTATATCGATAATACCAGCCAAAAGCAATCGAGTGCAGAAATTTGCCGACCTTGTGATTGTTTTATAAATCGTTCGTCGTCGCCCCTCTTTATAGGGAGACGTAAGGGGCCCCCGAGAGGATCAGCTAAAGACGACGGGCCTGCAAGACTGACAAGGCTGCAGGGCCAAATACGTCTTCTGGGCTGTGCAAGAGCTAGTAGCAGACCACATGACGTGTTGAATCAAATATTATTTATGAGATATATTGAAATTTGAGCGTGGTCTCAACAAAATTTTTGAAATAAATGCTCTAACGAGAGGGGCGAAGATCAAAGCACCTATTGCATAGATTGCTTCATTGCTATTTTCTCATTAGCTCGACCCATAACTGCCAACCTAGCAGCACTAGCCATATAGATGCGGAAAGCTCACAGGACCACAACGACAAAGAGTCAAGGTGGTTCAGCAGGGAAGCGCTCTAGAGCTTCACATTTTGCCCAAAAAAGTGTGCACGAGAGGTATTGCAGCTAACGTATGCAGCAGAAACCTAATCGCTACGTATGCAGGATAAAAAATCACTTGGCGTTATTGAACCCGCAGTTGAAAGAACGATGCTAGGAGTATACCGTATCTTGCAAATGAGAGAAAATATTCGGAGTTTCAACCTACGTCAACGATCGAAAATCAAAGACGCCGCTCTACACGCAACGACATCAAAACTAAGGGGGGTCGGGCACGTGATGCGCTTCAGCGACAACTGATGGACGAGAGCCGTTACCGACTGGATTCCTCGGGATCTCAAGCGCTCTAAGGAAGACCACCGATCCGATGGTCCGAATCTTCACGAAAGGCATAGAAGAAGTATATGAATCTCAGCGAATGCCTGGAGCGAAGAGGACCCACTGGGATACCCTTGAACGCGATAGGGAAGAATGGAAATGTTGCTGGTGCACGCTTGTGTCATCGACGATTAATGCAACGAGAAGACAGATGGCATACTTTTATTCGACTGTTTTTCAAGACCCTGCTTAGAATGAATGCTTCCAAACAACGTAATTTGAGCCTTTCATGAGGTCTGTTATGAGCACTCATATGCCTCTACGTAAGGCCTCTAGGTAAGGAGATTCATTCCCGTGAAAATCGACACAGACGAGAAGCACTGTGCAGCTGACGAGGCTGTAAGGCCGAAACAGGTGTATTGCATTGTTAAGTGCTCATACAAACTTCATTAAAGGCTTGAAATATGCTGTGAGGATGTAATATAAAGATTTTGGTAAAAGCCATGCTTAGTATCAAATTGGTATTCCCAAGCTATTAATTGATTATAGAAAGATGGACTGATAAGAATGGAACAATTGTTTTATAACAACTAGATACCCACTGATGTAGAGCGATGTGCAAGACTTTCGCGTCAGGTGGGACTAGAACCGCACCTCACTCTTTCCGGGAATGCGTGCTCTATCCGTTACATTACTGACGCCCATTTTATACAACGCTCTTTCTACGCTACAGCGCATCTATATGTCAGCCGCCAGCCGTCAACGGCCTGGCGCCGGGTAGTCGGTCTCGACATTGAACCCAGTCACGCTGACAGATATTGGGTATTGAAGATCAAACGAAATTCTTTTCCATTCAACCACTTCTAGCGATGTTATGATGTTTCAAATAGATAGCCATTGATGTAGAGCGATGTGAAAAACTTTCGCATCAGGCGGGACTACATCAATGGGTATCTATTTGTAAAATCATAACACCTCTAGAAGTGGTTAAATAAAAAAGAATTTCGTTTGATCTTCAATACCCAATATCTGTCAGCGTGACTAGGTGCAATGTCGAGACCGACTACCCGGGCCAGGCAGTTGACGGCTGGCGGCTGACAGATAGATGCGCTGTAGCGTAGAAAGAGCGTTGTATAAAATGGGGGTCAGTAATGTAACGGATAGAGCACGCATTCCCGGAAAGAGTGAGGTGCGGGTTCTAGTCCCACCCGACGCGAAAGTTTTGCACATCTCTCTACATCAGTGGGTATCTAGTTGTTATAAAACAATTGTTCCATTCTTATCAGTCCAAGCATGGCTTTTACCAAAATCTTTATATTACATCCTTACAACAGATTTCAAGCTTTTAATGAAGATTGTATGAGCACTCAACAGTGCAATACACCTGTTTCGGCCTTACAGCCTCGTCAGCTGCACAGTGCTTCTCGTCTGTGTCGATCTTCACGGGAATGAATCTCCTTACCTAGAGGCATATGAGTGCTCATAACAGACCTCATGAAAGGCTCAAACATGTTGTTTGGAAGCATTCATTCTAGGCAGAGTCTTGAAAAACAGTCGAATATAAATATACCATCTGTCTTCTCGTTGCATTAATCGTCGATGACGCAAGCGTGCACCAGCAACATTTCCATTCTTCCCTATCGCGTTCAAGGGTAGCCCAGTGGGTCCTCTTCGCTTAAGGCATTCGCTGAGCTTCATAACTCTTTCTATGCTTTCCGTGAAGAAATCGGACCAACGGGTCGATGGTCTACCTGTAGAACGCTTGATGTCCCGAGGAATTCACCCGGTAACGGCTCTCGTCCATCAGTTGTCGCTGAAGCCCATCACGTGCCCGACCCCTCTTAGTTTTGATGTCCTTGCGTGTAGAACGGCGTCTTTGATTTTCGATCGTTGACGTAGGTTGAAACTCCGAATATTTTCTCTCATTTGCGAGATACGGTATACTCCTAGCATCGTTCTTTCAACTGCGCGTTCAATAACGCCAAGTGATTTTTCATCCTGCATACGTAGCGACTAGGTTTCTGCTGTATACGTTAGTGCGGGGACAATGGTCGAGTCGAAGAGGTGGGCCCGGAGTCGGATGTTCTTTATCTCCTTCACTACGTCTTCGATGCTCGTAAGCGTTCCTCAAGACGCTCGCTTCTCCCTGCTCAACTCTGGAGCTATATCGTTCATCATGTTGATTTGACGACCTAGATAGACGTAGCTGGAGCATTCGGAGATTTTCGATCCGCTGAGCGTGAATGGAGCATTCGGAACCCATCCGTTCCTCATAAACATCATTTTCATTAGATGTAGTTGAAGACCAATCTTTCCACAGACGTTATCAAAATCAGTCAACATTCGTTCCACTTGGCTGATGTTTGGTGTTATAAGAACCATATCGTCAACAAGGCGAAGATGTTTAATTGTCGATCGTCAATTTTCGCTCCCATTGCATCGATGGTAGTATCGTTGTGGAATGGATATATCGTTGTAGCGAAATCTTTTTATTATATATATATATATATATTTATTTATTAACTTGATAGATTGGTAAACCATACTAGGCCGTGCATCATACCGCGGATATGTAATCAATCACCCCTAACGATGTCTAATAAGATAGAATGCATGACGTCATCCTTAAGGCATTGATCAAAACCTCTTCTACAGACCCCTTTTTATATACCTGCTCGAAATGATATAATTTGATAGGGATATAACATGTCTTGAGCTCTTTGGTCTAGTGGTATACAGGCGTCTGTTTCGTCATATTAAGACTAACCAGGACCATTCTCTGTCTGTTCAGCCAATCCCCTGAGGTTAAATATTCCTCTATAAAAGAATCGACGCAAAGTAAAAATTCGCCCCTAGTCAGTGACTTGTTGCTCGGCGTCGACTGCTTTATAGAGAATTATTCAGCCTCAGG